CAATTAAATATGTTTAGAATAACAAAATCATGTTTTTAGTTAGTTTATGTTTTAACAAACAATGTTACATTTAAATATTTAAATATTTTAATGTTTATTTTTACTATTGGGATTTTTTTTGGTGGCATGCTAACATAAAAACTCCAAAAAAATCTTGGCTACAAAGTTTATATGTATAAAAAAAATATCTAATGAAATATTTAACAATTTCGTTGGTATTCCTATTAAAATCAGGGGTCAGTAAAATTAAACAAATTAAATGACCTATTATAGTTATGGGACATGCTGTGTGCCTCATACACCAACGACTGTCACATAAAATAAAAGAAAACCCATTATGGTGCGGACTCTTTAAATGTGACTCACCCTGGGGCAAATTCTTAGGCCGCAAGCGCCTTGAAGTGGGCTTTAGCCCACTTGGCAGATGAAACCAATACCCATAGCCGTGCCCATGCCCATACCCATGCCCATCCTGCAGCTAAAAGTGGCACACAAAAAGCGGCAATAATAATAACAATAAACCAGGGCCAGTAATAGGAATAGTGGCCAAGTGCAAGCTGTTGCATAATGCTGCTGCGACCGACTGGATGGATATAGATGGAGATGGATATTCGGACGGATGGCCATGGCCCAGCTCTTGGCTCATGGCTCATGGCTCATGGCAATTGCCAAGCGGATTTTCCGCTCCAGAGAGCTTTCCCAGCCGCCAGAAAAGTCTTGGCCAGAGCTGAAAACTGGGAAACTGGGAAACCGAAACTGGGAAAACTACGAGTTGAGCGATGCACTGAAGCGTTACATTTTTAATCATAATATTTTAAACAATATAATTGCGAAACTAACAAAAGATGCAGTAAGCAAAAGACGATGCACAAATTGCCAATAAATCGGCTTTTGTGAAAATTGTGAAAATTTTGCAACTGATTGAATCGATTGTTAAATGGGATTGCTCAACTATGAATAGTTGCACGAAGAACATCTTTAAAAAATTGAAATAAAATAATTTAACTATGCAAGCTGCATTAAATGAAAGAAAAGTGTTATTATTTTTAAATGAAAATAAGCAAAAGGAAAGGAAATGCATTATACAAATGTTGTTGCATTGAAAGTTAATATATAAATATTAAACATTTAAGGTTTACTTAAAATCACTTAATGTATGCATAATTATTAATGTAGGCATAATTACATTTTCAACACACACTACATTTTGTGAGTAAGTTAATATTGAGTGGTAATGTTTTTCTGATTGTATTTCGTTGTTTTGAGGTCTCTAAAAAATTAAACAAATTTCAAATCTAAATAATTTTAATGTTTTTAAATTACAGTTGTAAGAATGTTGGCTGGACTTATAAAATAATTAAAATAACATGCAATAATAAATCAAATTATATTCACTTACCAAGCTTTGTAAAATTATTTTTAAAATTATGTCTATGACTCTGAGTTTTATTAATTAATATATAACCTTAATATTAACCTTATATTAGCTTGTTGCAAAGCTTCAATGCCGGATTAATACTTGAAATATTTTTTATTTCAAAATATGGTTAAAAATGAGGCCTTTAAACGGGAACCCCTTAAAATAATAGGTGTAGTGTGGCCGCAGCTTGATCCTTAATACTTACCGTTGATAAGGCGAAAATATATACTAAGCGATATATAAAACATAATGGCTAAAAGGATCTTAATCCTCACCAAGATCGCCGCTGAAGGTGAGATGCCAACCCATGCTCGAATTTGAAATCAACAAGTTCCCGCAGCCCAAAAGTATGCAGCCCGTGTTCGCTCAAACATGTTGCGCTCGCAGCATGTTGGCAAGCAACTCGCAACATGGACTGTATGACGCGAGCACAACATGTTCGAGTTCCACGCAGTCCACTCTGTGGATGCTATGTTAAGAAAAATAGTTCGTTTCTTTTGGGGGTTTTTCGTTTTGCATTTAAATCTTTATTTAATTTTTTTGCGCTTTTCTCGTTTTTCTAGGCCAAGTTTTTTCGCCAAGTTCCACTTTAAGACTTAAAACGTTCGTTCCTCCGGTAATAATTAATATGCATAACGTTACTTACAGTTTCGCTTAAATTAGTATAATAATTAATAATAATCATAATAAGGTGTAAACTCTCGTGAAATGCCCGTTGTTGTTGGTATCGGTTGTCTATATAGTTCTGTGCTGCGTTCTTTCGTTACGTTTTCATTAGTTTTTATAAAATATCACATTTTAAGCTTTTTGTTTTGTGGTAAAACCAAAGTTTCGAACGGAAAATTCACCGGCAAAGCAAACATTTTGGGCGATGGCAGAAGCAAAGCAAATCTAGCGAGACCCAAAGAACGTCAGCACTTGTGATCTCGATCGGGATCGGAATCGGGATCGGATCGGGATATCTTTATCCCCATATTCGTTATACATATACTTGGTTGTGGTGCTAAAACTTTGCTTTATTTTACGATTTATCCAATATCTAATGCGACTTCTGCGTTACTTCGCGTTTAATATTTATGTAGACATTTAAAAGTCTGCAAAGTGCAGCTTGGGAATTTAAAATTGTAATTTCATGTATATGCATGTCTGTCTGTTAGTGTCTGTTTGATTTCGCTTATTGTGTGCGTGGTGGAAAGTGCGCCATCGTTGGGCGCCACTTTCGACAATCGGATTTTCCATTGTTGCTACAACTTGATTCTAGAATTTCCCCTACGGTGCTTCGCTTTCTCTTCATAATAGTCATTTGCTTTTTACTTTTGACAGAAAACATACAGGACTTTGGAAAGTGCACGGAAAAGCCTCAAAAGCCGCAGCCAGATTGAAAATTGATGTTCAAAGCACTTTTAATTAAATATTGGAAGTACAGTACAAAAGATTCTTTAAAATATCTTGTTTTACATTTCAAAACACCTATAATATGGACTTTAAATTCTTCATTTTTTTTGTGCGCTTTTTATTAATTAATTAAAATTGTAAAGCAAGATTTGTTTAATTTAGTCAGATACAAAAAATTCAAAATTAAATGAACGCGTACTTTAAATGACCCATTGATTTCAAAAGATTCCAAAAAATACTCAACTCTTGAAAAAAAGATCAGAAATTGAACAAAACATTCTTGCTCCAGCAGACAACGTAAAATCGCTTGGTTAACGGCACCTATTTTAAGAGGTTTCAAATGGCTGTAGAACGTTGTGCAAAATGTTTCAAAAAATTATATAACTAGAGGTTTCGCAACATCCGTTTAGCATATCAACATCCCTAGTCCTTTGTTTTGAGGAATTCATTTCTGGCCGAGGCTTGAGGTCTTGCAGTTGGCATTTTAACAGCTCTTTTTCATTATTGTTCAAGTTGAGTCGGGGAAAAAGGACTTTTGTTTGACTGGGGGAAAGTTTTCGAAATGGAAATGAAATTCTTTACAATGTTTCTCTATTGCTGTGCCTGCTGTGTGGGTGTGTGAAGGTGTACATTTACCATTTATCATTAGTATGTATGGGCTTATATATGCATTTGCTTAAGACACATTTTTCAATAAGTAAGTAGACCAACTCGCCAACTGTTTCGATTTCAACTACATGCACATAAATTACAGATTTAACTTTTGTGGGTTTGTTTATTTTTTAAATGCTTTTCCATTGATTTTGTCTTTTTTCGAGCTCGTTGCGCCACTCGAATCGAATGCAAAAAGTTGACAGGCATTGACAAATATTTTCTTTCGTTTTTCTTGGCATTTGTTCTCAGCCCTTTCGTCTGTTGGTTGTGCGTCAATTAAATTGTTTGTGTGTCCAAATTTATTTACAATTTGTTTAACACTCAGAGCTTAAGTTACCAAAAAAAAAAAAAAACACATTTTATTAAATATTCTTTTTTATTAATATTAATATTCGTATAGGTATAATCCACAATCTTTACTCTATGTACAAGCATTGCTAGTTTATAAATAATAAAAAAAATCGTATATATTTAGATTTATATATGTTTAATGATCATGTTTGCTTTACGCGTAGACAACATGGTGGTGCAATCTTCTAGATCTAGTCTCCACGTTCGTCCACAAAAAAAAATTATCGCCGTCACATATTTCTAGTCGGATGCAATAAAAAAATTGGCTTTAACATAGTTCGTATGTACATGAATAAATATATAAGTATTTATATATTTATATAAGTGTGGGTGTTTTTGTGATTTTGCGTGTGGGGTGAGTGCGGGTTACATATATACTCCATATAGACATATGCCTAACATACAGTTAATTATATAGCGGTGCCAGATCTGCCAGATGGTTAATAATACATATATTTTGAATATATATATTGATCAATTCTGTGCTTAGTAACGATTAGTTTAAAATGTTCATCTCGGCCGCCGGGAAAAAAAAACTTCGATATACATCTATTCAACATGTGCAATTCGTTCATCGGTTATCGTTAATCGTTAATCGTTTATCTCTTATCGCTCCTACCGCGCCAATCGCTATGACCGTTCATTTTCTTCGTCTTCAGGGGGGTATTCGTCTCGATCTATTTCTCATATATGATATATGACTTCATTATACTCTCTCTTTTCCATTTCATGCATTTCTTTTGTAGTTACTTTGTTGTAGGTACCTTGCGTTTCGCTTTAAAGTGATTCCGTTCCCTATCCCCGTTTCCCCCCTTACAACATATCCGCTATGGAGCCGTAGTGCTGTTCCTGGCAAATCGGACGACAGCACTCCTCCACGGCGTCGTACTTGTAGTGGCGCCTCCGGTTCATCTGACTCCTCTGGTAGTAACTCCCCCCGCAGTATCGTAGCCTTGGCTTTTCCTCCGGCTCCTCCTTCTCCTCTTGCTCCTCCTCCTCCTGCTCCTCCTCCTCCTGCTCCTCCTCCTCCTCTTCCTCCTCCTCTTCCCTACTGCCCATCTCCCTTGGATCACAGACATCCAGGTCGAAGGGATTCATGCGATCCTGGGTGAGGGAGTAACGATGGTTCTGGGGCGGCTGCAGTGATGATGTGGACGATGACGTTGACGCTGATGACGTCAGCTGCTGATGCTGATGGTGGCGACGGCTGCTGTAGCTATTGTAGCTGCTGCCGCTGTTGGGTTGGTGGTAATAGTGGATGGCATGGCATGAGGCAGTCTTTGTATTGTATTCCTGCAAAGAAAAAACGCGACACATTGTTTAGCTTTGGGTACATTATTTGGTCAGACACTGAAATTTCGTATATTATTGTAAATATAATTAAAATAAATTTTTTCCTATTTATGTTAATTTAAGATTTTATTATTTATAAACTAATTATTTCCATCAAACCTTTCCTCTAGTAACATGTAACAACTCTCTTAAGCTTAAATAAGTGAAAATAAAACTTTATCAAGTATGTTCTCAAATTAAATCGAATTTTTAAATGTATTTAAATGAAAATGTATTCAGCTTTAGAAATACATAAGCCTGCGTTTGAGTGAATAAATAGACTGTTAGCTATATCAAAAATGCAGAATCAAAATCACTCTGCTGTAAAATTATTTTCGCGCTTGTGTGTCGGGTTTAATTTAAATATATTTCATATTTCGTTATTGGCCCTTAGTTTGATCTGTTATTTTTTTGTGAATCCTGTGAACTACTAAATGTACATGTGCTTCTATATATTGTGAATTTAATAGCATTTATTCAGCTGCATTTTGGTATAGAAATTCAGCACGAATTGAAACCTTAACCGATTGAACTGTGAAGCCGTAGTACAGTACAAGTTCAACAAGTTCGGGCTTTCGGTCAAGTCAAGTGAGGAGATTCCAGCAATTGACTTTTGGCAGCTTCTTCTTTTATCCACTTCCGCCCCCTTTTATCAACCCCCTTACTTTTCCCACCCCACCCCTTTACTACCGTTCCCTTCCTTTCCCTTTCCCTCACCACACCATACTAAATTCACTTCCCTTCGCTAAAATTTTCGTGAACCAACTGAATATTGTCTGCGCTAAAATTTGTTGCCACAATTTGTGCAACAAATTTTGTGCTGCTGCTCTTGCTTTTGCTTTGGCTTTTGGCTTTTGGCGCACTGCCTCGACATCTGCGGCCGTGTGTGTAGAGTGTGTGTGTAAATAACCAACATAATGGCAGAAAGGTCGCATTCTCATAAAGTTGGCGCTGACTTTCAGGGGTATCCTGCGCCCCATGCCCCGTGCCCCGTGTCCCCGCCCCAATGTCCTTCCTGTGTTCCGCATATTATCAATAAATTGCATCTGACTGCCAAGCAGACAACAAAACGGTAGCCCTATCTGCAAAGCCCCCTCCCTCATCCTTTCTAAAGGACCGTTTGACACCCACCACCCACTACTCACCAAACACCACCCACCACCCACCACCCACCTGACTAACCCGTTATTAAGCGAGAGCTTAAACACTGGAGAGAAAAATACCAAGTGTTGGGTTAAAGACCACAGAAATTCCCTTATCAATACTGCAAATCTCTAATTCTTTCTTTAATTTGAATATTAAAAAGTTAAGCATCGACAACGTATGTTATAAAATGTTCATCAAAATGTATGAAATAGTTTATAAAGGATTAAATGTAAACGATTATCTCTCTAAATTTGCATTATAACATTCAATTTTAGTTTTAGGTAAAATACAGCAAGCTCAGCTTTACCCACGATTCTTTCTTAATGAGATATTATATAAAATGGTATATCTTAACTTTGTATATTATAAAATGTTCCTAAGAATGTATGAAATAGTTTATAAAATGACTTATTGTAAACATTAATATTGTTTGTAGAAAATTAAATACCAAATTAAATCACTTAAATAACACAGTTGCGAAAGTTTTTATCTGTTGATATAATTCCAATTTTGTATTTAAATTTACGATACGATTTTTGCTCAATCCTTAGCATTCAAATGATTTGCATGCTACAGTACAGTACCATTCTTAGAGCTAAAGGTACCAAATTTTCTGATTTTCAGCAGCAAAATTAAGCCAAATAACGCTGCCTAGCTAGTGTTTTGCAAGCAACACAGATCTTATTAATACTTTATTTAAACCAGCCCTTTCAGTCGCATTTTCACGCAGTGTACACGTAATATGGACTTGGGCTTGGGCTTGGGCCCAGCCACACCGCACCTTGTTCTAATTTATTTATTGTTGCATGCATGTGCTTTTATTGGGCGTCCTCCAAATGTAGGAGGGGTTGGGATCGTCCCCCCAACCGCAATATCGGAGAAGACCCGGTGCTGGACTTTAACAATTATGTTTTTGGCCGGGCTCGGTGAAAGTCAACAGTGGGCGAAATGTCTGACAATTTGATGCACTTGTCGCTGGGTGGCCACCATTTGGTGCCAAAGTTATTAAGCACTTTTTGGGGGCTATAATTGGGGGCGGTGTAAGGCCAATCCGGGCTGAGCTGACCCAACTAACTGGACGGAGTTTTAAAATCGGCTTAAGCAGGCAAATGTATTTCGAATATGCCAACACACATGCAGAGGACAGGACAGAACCCTTTCCATTCCCTTGTACCTTTCTGTTTCAAGTTTATTGATGTCGACGTGGGTTTTCATGCCTCAGCTGGGGGGGGTCAACAAGGGGTAAGGGGCAAAGGGGGGGTCCAGACTCGTCTGCAACGTGACAAAACCCATTATAGATGCGACCGCAAAGATAACACTCGCTTTTCGGTCCAGACTCGACCTCTGATGGATGCCCAAACACCAGTGTCAGGTGTTTGGTTTTGTGGATGCTGGAAAAGGTTGACGAGCTGGTAGTGATGGTAGAAGTACTACTTTTTGACAAGGCTATGCCTATACATTAAAAATCATTATACTATTGCAAGTTTTTCAAAATCTCTTTTTTATGCAACAGTAAAACACTGATTTTCCTTCCTATTTACTTGATTTTTTTATTTTGTTACTAAAAACCATAATTTCCAAATATAAAGACCTGCAAATAAATACCTGTATGTGTACCCGAAAATTCCCAAAATTCCCAACTCACCACCAGTCACTGGTGAAAAGTGAGTGGAGCGACGACGCTCCAAAGTTTCCATAAATTTCATTTTGTAACCATCAAAAAGTTAAGTCAACGATAAATTGAATGGCTGCATGATTGACTGAATGAATGAATGAGAGGAGGCTGTGCCGGGTGGTGCAAGGTAGTGGTGCGTGGTGGGTGGTGGGTGGTGGGGCAGGCTGCGGCTGTCAGTTGCTTGTCGGTCATTGTGTGGCTCGTTGCGTTTCGGCCAGACATCGAAATCCACAAGCGGGTTAAAAAAAAAAAAATATGAAAGTGCCAAAGAGATAAATGGAGTAAGGGATAAAAAACGCCTACAATTGCGGACAAAAAAATGGCACCCCACCTCTGCTGATCAAAAAAATAGCTTAGCCTATAAGCTATTTTATGTAATTGCATTTATAATTTTTGTTTAATTACCTTGGATTTTTTTTTATGGATTGTTGAAAAAAATAATGTTGAGGGAGCTTTTTTACAGCTGCAAACAGCAATTATAGAAATGTCAAACTTTTCAAGTATATATACATTTCACGACTTAAACAGGTATTTAAATTATTATTATTGAGTCGTGGTTATTAAAATAAAATTAACTAAAAAAATCTTAACTTTTAAATCGACCGCAACTGTACTCTCGTTGTGTGTGCGTAAAAAAGCGTCAATATAAATATAAAGCAGTAGACAACAACAATGCCAAAAAGTCAAAAGCCGTCAAAAAGCATCATTGAACCAACGCGACAGGGGCGGTGGCCTGAGGGAAGGGGCGTAAATGGCGGAAGAGGGTATTGGGGGCGTGGCCGAGGTGAGGGCCAACACCTCCATAAAGCGTTTGTCTGCGTGGGCGTCACCTCTTTGGCCAAAGAGGCGTGGCCCCGACATGTGACAAGTGCCCTCCTGACAACGTCATGGCAACCCCCTCCCACACACCCACACACCACAACACTGCACCCCTGGTGAGCAGGTGAACAGGTGAACAGGTGAAAAAGGTGCCCAGCCGACAATAGTGCGGAAATATTAAATCTGCGCGTCAGACGAAGAGAAGAAAACAATTTCGGGCAAGTGAAAAAATTCGTGTAACAAAAGTGCGGTTATTATTTTTTTTTTTTTGCAACGAATAAAAAAAGGACGGTCGACGGATAACAGGGGGTGAAAGGGCGTGTTAAAGTCTTTATATAAATTGCAATAAACACGAATTGGGTCGTAAGCAGCATTCCGTTTCGGCAGCAGCGACAGGAAGGCAAACTTAAAACTGATTATGTATTGATGGGCGGAGATAATCAAAAAAGAGTGAGTGAGCGATATATGTACATATGGGGGATATATATAGAGCACCATCTGCCGTTGTTATAATGGATCATTTTTGAAGTGGGGAAATATGAATTTGATTGGCAAAAATCATTGCATATTGTTGAGGTGAGGTTGGTGGCGTGAGGGAAAGTGTAGCAAAAAGGGTTTTGCAAATGATACAGATGTGGTTACTTACTGGTTTTTGAATTTATGTTTAAGGATTTTATGGGTTGCTATGTTCGATTTTGAACAAGGTAATCTGATTTAAGTGTTGCTAATACAACCTTATGTAAGAAGTTCCTTAACTAATATGTTAACTTTTTAGCTATGAGCTTAGAAAATAGTAGGTTTTATGTGTTAGTGAATATTCACTATGAAATTAACAAGATAAATCAAAGAAATTAATTTATTTGAAATTTCTTAGCAAACGGGTTTGAAAACAAAGTTTATTTGGTATACTCAATATAAAATAAACAAGATAACTGCTGTAAAAGGTATAACTATTTCAAGGACTATTATATTATCTAAATTGCTAACTATTAAACAAGGGGTTTTGAAAATCATGTTTATATATGTGTTGGTTTACTCTTAATTCGAAATAAACTAGATAAGATTAAATAAATTGCTTTAATATTGTTTATTGAAACAAATTCACTACCTAAGCACTCTTTATTAAGTACCTTTTTTTACTGTTTTAAACGAGCTACACCATGCTTGAGGAGCACCATTAAAATTCGCTTTAAATGAGGGCAAGTTATGGTTGGTCGGTTAACCCCCTTCACCGTTCACCGTTCACCCACAGCCCCCCGCCCATCCATCATATAACAGGGAGCAAAAATCGTTGCACCGCCAACAAAGTGCAGAAAGTGTT